AAAAACTTGAAATATTAAGGAATTCAGGTTGCCGGAGCCTCTCATTTTCATTAAAGATTAGGAGAAAGTTGGCCATGCCCTCCAATGAATTAGCCCAATGCTAATTTCTAAATAGTCTTTGTCTAGATTGCTATCATTTATGCAAATTTATTTCCTGTCTTATGGGAAATTAACAAAAAATCAAGTCAATTTGCCTAAAGCCCTGAGATGTTTGGAGCCATCCATCCCTCTGGAAGGTCCCTTAGTAAACAGGGAAGGGCATCAAACAATGAGGTCCTCGTGGGAAAAGAGCTCCTGATGCGAGGGCTGCAACGAGAGAAGGAGTGCCTGCAGGTAAACTGAACTGCCACCATTTCCCCCCCTCAAAAAGAAATTTAGAAAGAATCACAGAGCAAAAGGGTAGGAGAGAGTAAAACTACCCAATGCTTTTTACCAGAATCCAAAAAAGTACACAGAGTCCTGATATCCCTCCAGATATTTCTAAAGGAAGAAAAAGAACACTTTAGTGGCCATTGTTTCTGCTGAGATGTTTTGGAGATGCCTGCTCTCAATGAATAGGTTTGAAGGTATGCAGGAGCACAAAACACCCTCAGAGGAAAATGACCTAGTCCTGTTCCCCTTATTTGGTGATGTTTATTAGTTTGGTTTTTAATAGGTCTCTGCCCTCAGGAATGTTGAAATTGCTCAAGTATGTAAAGGAAGGTCAGTTCAAGCCTAACCAGACAGAGCAATTAATTCATCTCTGGTTGAGGACAGTTTATGTGCTATGAGAAGAGAACTGTTCCCATTGTACCAGACTACAACTATCACTTTTCCATCATTTCTAAGGATATTTAATTAGCAGAAAAGCTTTCTCTGTGTGAGCTGGTAGGCTTTTATGTCAGGTAATCTCTTAGGAGATGATCTGTGTCACTCTGGTGATAGACATATAGTTAGAAGGGAAGAGAAAAATACTACATCAATCCTGGGTCCTACAAGATTTAAGTGTGAGACAAAAGCTAAAATACACAGTGTGCAGAATGGATGAAGCTGGGGAAGATTTAAAGTCCAGTATTGTCTTCCTCTTTCATCAGAACCCTGGGTGGGGGGCCCCACATACATACCCTCAGGAAAAACATGTTGATTTGAAAATATCAGTCTAGATGTAGCAATAATGATCACAATGTTACTGGAATTTTAGAAGTGCAAACATTTATTCTGAACTAGTATCATATAAACATGAGTTAATAGCAGTATTTTGTGTTAATAAGTGTTAATGACTATTTATAAGTGTTAGAATGTGTGCCTCCAAGTTAAAACATTGATAAAATAGATAGGCTGTTTAAAGAAATGGACAGTGAGAGATTATAGCAGTATTGTTTAATCTGGCATGGATTATAATACTGTTAGTTTCAGCAACACTGATCATGTTGTATAGGAAATACTAGCCAGTGCAATAAGGCAATAAAAAGAAATTAAAACTGTATAAATTCAAAAGGAAGAAGTAAAACCACCTCTATTCACAGAATAAATTATTGTCTTTATAGAAAATCCAACGAAATCTACAAAAACACTATTGGAACTAATAAGAGTTCCGAAAAGTCAGTTTTCGGTATACAAAATAAACAGTATTTCTACAATATATAATAGCAATAAAAAACTGGAAATTAAAGTTCAAAGAAAAACTTACCAATTAAAATAGGACCAAAAACATTAAGTATTTAAGTATAAACCTAAGAAGTGTGTCTAAGATTTAACTCTTGAAAACTAGAAAACAATTGACATTAAATAAGACATAAATAAGTTGGAAAGTATTCCCTGTCCACGAATTGGAAGACTAAATAATGTTAAGACCTTAATTCTCCCTAAATTGATCTGCAGAGTCAAGGCAACAAAAATTCTAACAGGTTATTTTGTAGAAATCAACAACATGATTTTGAAATTGATATGGAAAGGCAAAGAAGTAGAATAACTAAAACAGTTATTAAAAAGAACAAAGTAGGGAGAACGCATATTACTTGATTCTTAGACTAATTATCCAGCTACAATAATCTAAACAGTGGGGCATGGACAGAAGGGCAAGCACAGACGGGAACAGGACTGGGTAGAATGTTCAGAAATAGACCCATGTACATAGTCAATTGATTGTCAAATGATCCCAAAATAATTGGACATTCGCTTGGGGGTAAAAAAAAAAAAGAGAGAGAACATTGACCTGTACCATACGAATTAATACAATTTGGACCACAGACCTAGTTTTAAATCTAAAACTATGAAACTTCTCAAAGAAAACAGAGAACATCTTTGTGGCTTTGAATTAGGTACAGGTTACAGAGATACATAAAAAAAAAAAATCATGATCCACAAAATAAAAAATTGATAACTGGAGTTTATAAAAATTTTTAAAGCATGCTCTTTGAATAAGAATCACTGTTATAAAAATGAATAAACAACCTACTGGCTGGAAAATGTATTCAAAATATATTCAAATATATATTCCTTTATCTAATAAAGGATTTGTGGCAAAGAAATATATAAAGAACTTTAAAAACAACAATAAGAAAATAAACCACCCAATTTTAAAAAGGAGTAAGGTATTTGAACAAATACTTCATCAAAGGAGCTTTATGAATACCAAATAGGCAAATAAAATTATGCTCAATATCATCATTCAATAGGGAAATGCAAATTAAAACCACAATGAGATACCATCACCTCTTGGAATGGGTAAAATAAAAAAATAAAGAAAAATTGGCAGTACCAAATTGCTGAAAATGTAGAAGAGCTGGAAATCTTATATACTGCAGGTGGGAATGCAAAATTATTCAGCCTCTGGAAAAGAGTTTGGCAATTTCTTTATACACTCATCATATGATTGAACAATCTCAAGAGAATCTAAGACATAAGTACATACAAAAACCTGTGTGTGAATATTTATAGCAGCTTTATTCATAATGACCCTGACAAAGAAATAAACTACATATCTTTTAGCTGATATTGTGGTATATCCATATAATGAAATTCTACTTGACAGTAAGAAGAAATGAACTACTGGTACATGTAACAACATGAATGAATCTCAAATGAACTATACTAAGATTTAGATTTACTAAGGCTACATGGCAAATGATTACATTATATGATATTTTGGAAAGAGTAACACTCTAAGAACAGAAAATATATCATTGGTTGCCAGGGCCTGGGAGTGAGGGAAGCGGTTGATTTCAAAGAACACAAGGATATTTTTTTGTGGTAAGAAACTGTTCTATATCTTGATTGTAGTGATTTACATGACTGCATGCTATTGTCAAAACTCAGAACAATAAAGAGATGAATTCTCCTGCATGTAAATTATACCTCAATAAACCTGACTTTAATTTTAAAAATATTTAAAAAGATTTTTTAGAAAGCTGTTTGCTTGGAAAAAATACATTAAGGATCAGAGCCAAGCAACTGAGTTATTAAAAAAAAAACAAACAAAAAAGCTTATAGAGCCAAGTAAATGAGTTAAAAGGAAAAAAAAAAGCTTAAAAGAAGGAAGTATAGCTACTTAATCCTGGATGAAAGGAAACTTAAAGAGAAAAAAGCTTTTCAAAGAGACAATAACACCAATAAATTAGGGTTAAAGTATCTGCAAAAGACAGCTTCATCCTGTCCTGAGAGGTCATTGAGAAAATACATAGTATCTTAAGAAATAGAAATGATTTGCCAGCTGCTTTATAGCTGAGAAAACTGAGTCACAGAGAGGGGTAGGCAGAATTCTAAAATGTCCCCACCCTATTCCTGCCTCGTGGTATACACACCTTCTATAATATCCTCTACTGGAGTGTGGATGAGACTTGTAAATATCAAGGGAATTCACTACTATGATTAAGAGACTATTCAGTTGACTTTGAGTTCATCAGAAGGGAGTTGATCCTGGGTGAGCCTGCCCTAATCAGGTTGGCCTTTGAAAGAGAGTCTCCTGCAGTTGCTGTGGACTGCCATGGAGGAGTCTTCAGGTAAAGACCCAGGGCAGCCTCTGGGAGCTGAAAGGTCTCCAGCCTTGAGTCAGAAGGGAAACAGGAACTGAATTCTGCAAAAAACCCCCCAGTGATCTTGGTAAAGGACCCCAAACCTCAGATGAGATTAAAGTCCAAGCTAACATCTTGACTTCAGCCTGGGAAGACTTTGAGGAGAGAACCCGCGCCCAGGCTTCTGACCTAGAGAAACTGTAAGATGATCAACGTGTGTTGGGTTAAGCCACTAGGTTGATGGTGATTTTGTCATGCAGTTGTAGAAAACCAATTCAAAGGCTAAATTCAAAGTATGTAAGCCAGTTTAATCAATGTGAATACTTTCATGGTTTTGACTCCAACAGCTCCTCACCCCATTGTGAGCCAGTGTTAATGACTTACATGCATTGAATCAAAAAGCATCACGAAAGGTAACATCATAGAGAGAAGAGGGAAAGACTAAGGGGATGAAGTCTTTGGAGAATGATCTCCTTCAATTCTGTTCAGTGGTGGCCAAGGGAGCCCAGTATAGACTGGTGGAGGAGCCTTCTGTTGGAGGTGCCCTGGTCTTGTCTCATCTTACATGACAACTCACCATCCCTGTGGGCTTCCCTTCTCTACCTCAAGGCCATGACTGCAGCACTCTCCTCTCTGGGCTGGACACCCTCACACAGGTCCCCAGGGCCAGCAGCAAAAACTAGGGCAGAGTCACGCCCATGTTCACCAGACTTTCTTAACACTCATTCTTAACACACTCACTTGTGAAGCTGGGCACAAGGAAATAACCACTCAGCTTTACAACCACAAAAGAAAGCATGAATCATTCCTGAAGCACCTCTCCGTATAGGTGAAAGTAGATAGCAGGAGTCCCACCCTCTCCCACCTCAAAGAATACTACTTGAATGACACATTGCAGTATCTTGCAAATTAAAAAAAATTACAATCTTCATTTTCATATTATTAATTATTTTATTCTATAAAGTTCATTTTAAAGGTCATAAAATGGAAATGGAACAAGTAACTTACCTTGTAACTTTTCAGTCTGATGAAATCAACCTTCATAGAGACAAATCTATCTGAATTTCGACTGATGTTCTTAAGGTGTTCTACAAGATCAGCACAGAATTTGTAACCTCCTTTAAGCACACACAGGACCATAATGTCACAGTAGCCTATATCTTTCATAATATCCTTAGCCAGCCGTTCAATTCTGAAAGAAGGGATTAAAAGATGTATTAAAGCATAACTATTTCTGAGTATTTTTGTTCCTTTTAGCAAAATACATGATGTATCATACATATCAGATTATGCAGGAGGATGTGGAGAAGAGCTTGGGAGACAGGAGTCTACAGATGAAGAAGCTTTGTTAAAGCTGGACAAAGAGAGAGTGTTCAAAACCTATTTTTGATAATCCCATCATCAATAGCACATTATTGCTCCTCTGTGTCACAAAACTGATAAAAGTATAATATATAAAGTCAAAGATCATGGATGCAGTTATTTTATCACCACCACTGAGCCTGGTTGTTAACCTTAATGCTATGATGGTATTTGCTGATAGTATGCTTATTTTATAGGAGAGAAAAAGGAAATGGAGAATGACTCACCCGCCTTACAACATTAGAGGACACTGGAGGAAAAGTCAAGCCTTCTTATATTTCACAAAGATAGCACATTATGTATGTGAAAGGTGCCCCAGAACACAATTCCAGCAGGTACTATTTCCATGGAATGCAATGTGAACGATGTCTCCTGGGGTTATGCAATGATGAAACCTTGAATTGGCACCCAATACCTAATCTGGAACTGCCATTGTATTTTTTATAATTGTTTCACGTCTAGAAATCCATTGCCCATGTACCCACTTAACATTAAAACCTTGAATAGAGACAGGATCTAAGGTACATGCTTAAAAAAAAACTCCCACTGGCATCTCAAATAGAAATAGACTTAAAATAAATAAACTGAATGATCTAAACATATATATAATTTTATATTACATATAATCTACACATATAATTACATAATACATTTCATATATTTGTATTAGAATCTTCTTGTTTTTCTTTTGTTTTTTTTCAATTACAGTTGACATATAATATTACATTATTTTCAGGTGTACAACATAGTGACTAGACATTTATATAGTATAGAAGGTGATCAACCCCATAAGTCTGGTACCCATCTGACACTGTGTAGTGTAATACATAATTGTTTCAATATTATTGATTATCCTCCCAATGCTGTACTTTACATTCTTGTGTTAATAATTGGCAATTTTTAGTTCTTAATCCCTTCACCTTTTTTACCCCATTATAAATGTTTTATATAAGTGTATGTATACACACAGTTTCGGGCTCAGAATATGATCACCAGAAAATGTGCATCAGCATGCCAGATATTCTATATAAAGGGACACTTGTTTCCAGCATGATGGAGTACGGAAGTCAACACACCCTTTCCACAAACGCCAACTATAAAGCTAGACAAAACTGTCAAAAAAAACCCAACAAACAAACATTTTAGCACTCTAGAAATCAACCAAAGGCATATGACAAACTGAGAATCATTTATTCAGGAAAACATTGAATACTGGGTAGAAGCAGAGCAAGTCTATGGTTCTTGCCCAAGAAAGCCCCCATTGCGCCCTTCGGCCCTCCCTCCCCGCCCCTTCCCCCCCATCAACTCTGTTGTTCAACCAGGTAGTTCAGCCAGGGTGGGGCACAGCCAGAGGGAGTTCACCTGACTGGGAGTATTGTCAGCTAAAATGGCTATCTTGGCAGCATGTGAACAGGGAGGGCCAGTAGCTCCATATTCCAGTATTTGCAGTCCTGTTTAAGCAACTAACTGGTTAGACCAGTCTGGGATTTGATAGGTAATTCCAGGAGGTTAGAGTCATAGGAGAGGGCTACACAATAAACTCTTTGCATATCCCAAATTGACCAGAGATATGTGTATGTCTAGCAGGGACTACAGTGGACCTAAGCTACCCACACATCTCTGGATGATGGATCCTGTAAGCATGTGCAGAGGAGACACAAGAAAGCCCAGTGGAATGTAAAAGCCAAGGAAGACTTGAAGAAGACTGGAAATTTGAATGTTTGCCAACCCCCACACATATTTATCAGGAGAGAGCCTTCCTGGCTCAAGGTGTTTAAGTGCAATTTCTAAGCAATCTAAGGGTGAAAACTAAGCTAGTCAGACACAGGCGTGAACCCTAGTAAGTGAGTCTTAAAAATAAAAACAAGGCCCTGGCCAGTGTGGTTCACTTGGTTGGAGTATTGTCCCATAAATAGAAGTCTCATGGGTTCGATTCCCAGTTAGGGCACATGTCTAGATTGCAGGTTGGGTCTCTGGTTGGGGTGTGTGCAAGAAGCAGGTTATCAATGTTTCTCTCTCACATCAATTTTTCTATTCCTCTCTCTCTCCCTCCCTTCCTCTTTCTCTAAAATCAATAAGCATGTCCTTGGGTGAGGATAAAAAAGAAAAAAGAAAAGGAAAACAAGAAATAAACTGCCCATCATAAAAGGCCACACATTGTGGGGGAGATATATTTCACAGAGTGGAAGACAAAAGAAAAAAAAAACAAAGAACGAGGGCAATGAATAGGAAATAGTTAATATATGGTAGAGATATTAAAACACATGTAACAATAATCATTTTAAATGTGAATGGTCTAAATACATCAATTAAAAGGCAGAGGCTGTCAGAGTAGATAAAAAAACAAATGCTAATATATGTTGTCTCAAGAAACACACCTTAAATATAAAGACACAGACAAAATGTGAAATGATAGAGAAAAAAATACCATACTAACATTAATCAAAAGGCAACTAGAGTTGCTATGTTAATTTCAGACAAAGCAAACTTCAGAGCAAGGAAATTAATGGGAATAAAGAGAAAGTTACACAATAATGAGGTCAATTCTTCAAGAAGACATAATAATCTTAACAATAGAGTATTATAACACTGACAGAATTGCAAGGAGAAGTAGATGAATCCACTATTGCATTTGGAGACTTCAAAACTCCTCTCTCAGCAACTGATAGATCCAGCTTACAAAAAACCAGTAAGGATATAGTTGAACTGAACAATACCATACCACCTAGATCTAACTGACATTTACAGAATACTCCATCTAACATTCTTCTCAAAAGATGTCAATAAGAAAATAGACAAGCCACAGAAGGGAAGGAAGGATTTGCATCCAGAAAATATAAAGAACTCTTACAACTAACTCAGTAAGAGGACAAAATACCTAATTTAAAAATGAGCAAAAGACTTAATTAGACATCCCTCCAAAGAAGACATATAATAACTAACACATACACTCATCATTAGGAACATGCAAACTAAAACCAAGAGATACTCTTATATATCTACTTGAGTGGCTATAATCAGAAGGACTGACAAAGGCTAAATGTTGGCAACTGTGTAGAGAAACTGGCAACCTTATACATTGCTGTGGAAATGTAAAATTGTACAGACACTTTGGGAAATAATTGGCAGTTTCTTATGTTTACCATAAAACTCAGAATTCCACTCCAAGGAATCCATCCAAGAGAAATGAAAAGATATATGCTCACAAAGAATGTTCATAGAAGCATTATTCATAATAGCCAAAAACTAGAAATCCAAATGTCTATCAACTGGTGAATCAATAATCAAATATTCTATCATTTATAAGAAATGTCCCAGGAAAGATAAATTTATAGAGAAATAAATCAGAGTTCTGATTGCCTAATGCTGAGGATGGGAGAATATAGCAAACAAATTCTTTGAAATGATAGAAATATTGTAAAATGATGGTAGTGATGCCTGACCAACTATAAAATTTTACAAAAAAAAAATCATTACATCTTTTACCTACAGTGGGTAAATTCTGTAGTATGTAAATTGCATCTTAATTAATTCATTTTAAATGTGAGGATGGACATTTAATCAAAATTGCTGAACATAAAGCTAAAGAATATTCATTTTAACAAGTTCACTGGGTGATTAGCCTGTACAGGGACCTGGCTCCAGATAAGCTTACCATGACTCAGTCATGCCCTAGATCAGGATGTAATTAATTTAAATCATAAAATTCAGGTGAGAAAAGTAGGAATTGTTTTTAAACCAGGGGGGCCCAAAATGATAAGGGAAAACTCTTCTGAGAAGTATTAAGAGGTGAACTGAGTCTAAAGACGCACAGAGCACAACAAAAGTTGGTTTAATTGTTAGAGTCAAGCAGGTTTCCTTCCTTTTTTTCATAATTTCCATGTATTTAAATGTGAAATGTCGATAGAAAGACTTAGCAGTTTGGGAGATGCAAAGTTTCCCAAGTTTACTTGATCATGAAACCATTTTTGCCCTCTGACAATCAGAACATTTCTTCCATAGAAAGCCATCCAAGCCATGAGAAACCCTAATCTAGACTTTAATTTAATAAAATACTATAGCTTGAGAAAAAACACACCCTTTTCAAGTCTTATCCCATGCAAAATTTTAGAATTTGAGTGAGAGAATGCCATTTCTTTTGCTTACAGATAGAAATTGATAGAAAGATAATATCCTGTGAATAGCAATCACCTAGTCTATTTCAGTCTTTCTTTTGGCTGAGGACCTATTTCATAGTTAAATTTTAACTCTGAAGAATATAACAATATTAAAAAAGTAGGGGCAGAAGTTTATGTTCAAGGAAAGGATAGGGTGGAATCCCAAAGCCTCTATTTGCTCCTACTCCCCAGGGCCTCTCTCACGCCGAGTTTTGGGTCTCTGGAGAATCTTTATGATTCCAGGGGATGCACTGTGAAATTCATGAAGCTTACTTTCCATATAACTGTGAAGGCTTAAGTATTTGTCCTTTGTACAGAAATTAGAGGTACATGGAAATGTAGTAGTCTGGTCATTAAGACCGTTTTATGAAAGGGACATGACCTGCAAGTCCTGGCACTTGTGGGCTGAACTGGAGGGGGCTCTCTGAAAACCAAGGGCCAAACAGAGGTGACTTAGGGGCTTAGAACAGGAGGGAAAATGTTGGCTTTAGGAAATCCAATCAGCTAGGAACGAGCCAGAGGATATCTTTATAGGTAGATCAGAAAGAATTAGAAATAGTATTTCAGAAAGAGTTCTGTGCAGATCTTTTTAAGTTGCAAATATACCTATTCCTGAAACTTTACCCTGGCTGGAAAATAAAATTGTGCACAAACTGGTCAACCAGTTGTACATTACTTGCTCCAAAATAAATGTAAGTTGCAGGAAAAGCCTGTGCTTTAGGGGTGTGTCCTATGAAGGCAAAGGTCACCTCTTAACTCACCCAGGTTAACTCAAGAGTTTAAAAAATGTGAGACAAGTGTTCTCGGGTGAGAAGCATTTTTATCAGTTTGACTAGTACATTGTTATCTTGAGGCTTTTATAATGTTAATACCATATATAGGCGCGCGCGCGCGCACACACACACACACACACACACACACACACACACACACACACACACACTCTTCTTCTTACTGTTTCTCCTGAACAAATGTCCAGGTAAATAGTTTAGTTAAAGCACAGATTCCTTTTCTTTCAAATTCTCTGTCCTAAAAAGTGCTGTCCAGCACTGCATAAAAGCGATCCAGGAATAGGGTCCTAAGGTACATTGCATGATTCATACAAGAGACGGCTGGCCCAGGACAGGACACAGAAGTAACACTCACCTGTCCACAATGATGCCGTGAGGTATGAGGACATATTCCAGATCTCCATAATAGTGCTGTGGGTATGTGAATAAATTCAACTCATACCCTGGCCAATCATCCATAATCTGCAAATCAAATTATTTTGGTTATGGTATTTTTCATTGGCAACTTATTTTTAAAACATAAGTAAACAAAAGAGTGTCATTTGAAAAACAGAGTAACACTGAAAACAGAGTAGGCCCTATGATCAATATGGCAATTATATTCTGTCAACCTATGAAAAGTTCAGTGGGACAAGGTAATGTTTCATTCAACCTGATAAAGGACCTCATACTGGAAGTGGAACAGTGTACATACTCCATTCTGAACTCTTGGCCTCATACAGTAAAAATATAAACTCAGTGTCTTATAACTAACCTTATAGTATTGTTTGAAAAAATATATTTGTATAAAAATATAATCTATACTTAAATTATAAATGTTACCATGAATATAACAGGAGTATATATATTTGTAATTATATTAATATCTATACTATATTATATATTACTATATTATTATATATACTATTACATTTCTGTGCATTGTATATGCCTCATGTGTCTGGGAAAGATTACCTATTGAAATTACATGTTTCCAGGGATTGGTGTAGACCCACACTTCTACGTCATCCAGTCCTTCTAGTAAAGACTTCCATAGGATGTACTATAGTGGAAACTGAAGTCAGTCTTACTGGGAAACTGTTGCTTCAGAAAACTGGCCTATTCAGGTACTGGGAAGACTGCTAGCAAGTCTTCCTCTTGTTTAGGATGGGACATACAAGTTTTAAGGTTAAAATAGTAAAGAGGTGAGTGAGAAAATGAAGGTGAAGGTGTTACTTTTACTTTCAGATCTTCAGGAAAGGATGCAACATGAAAGTTTTAATATACTCAAGCCATACCATGACTGGCTCTTTAATTACTCCAATGCACTTCCATCAGACTCCTCTGTCCAGCTTTCAGCTTTTCAGGACTTTTATTATATAGACTTATCCTAATTTTCCAGCTCAATTCCCTAAACTACATCCTTCCTGTCCTCCGATTAGTCTACAGTCAAGTCCTGTTCCTTCCCGGCTCTGAGTCCCATTTATCTGTCTTGCATCTACACCCTCTCCCTCTTTTCCTCCTCTGGCTCTGCATCCCAAGCTGGGCTCCCTCTAGGGAAGCTCAGGTCAGGCCCCACTTCCTTCTGGAGGCTCTGACGCTGGATCCGGTCCTCTGACCTTCTTTCTCAGACTCCTGGTGCCCCTCATAGCTACCTGTTTTCCTAGAGGCTCCCATTCAGTCTCCTTGAGAAAACTCCTGTCCCTTCAAGCCTCTGGCTTATTCAGTCTGGTTTGGTTTTTGTTGTTTCAGAACCCACTTAAACTTCATTTAATGCTGAGACATTCTCCTGCTTTCCATTTTCCTCCTCATTCAAGACATGAAACCAGTTCTCTTTTGCTCAGATCTTAGAAAGGCAACTTATGGTCCAGCCCCCACCTGTTCCCATCCCAGTTCTGGGCTCTGGAATGTCAGTCAAACCAAACTTGTAATGGTTCCCCCTAAATTTATCCTTTTCTTTCAGGAATGGACCACTCATTTTTCCAGTTGCTCAGATCAAAACCTGAGTTGCTGTCTACTCCATTCTTTCATCCCTTTCATGCAACCCATTAGCAAATCCTATCATCAATTCCTTAAAAATGTAACCAGGACTACTCCTCAGCGTCTCTATTCTTCCCCTCTATCTGTGCCAAACTTATGTCTCCTGGGACTATTGCCATAGCTGCAAACTCACCTCCCTGCTTCCACCTTGACATGCACCTCCTCCCCCACCCCTCCCCGCCCCTACATGGCAGCTGGAGGGCTCCTTTAAAGATGTGCATCATGCCCTGGCTAGATGGCTCAGTTGCTTGGAACATCATCCCATGCACCAAAAGTTTGCGGGTTTGACCCCCAGTCAGGATGTGTATGGCAGGCAACTGATCAATATTTCTCTCTCACATCAATGTCTCTCTCTCTCCCTCCCTTTCTTCCTCTCGCTCTAGAAGCAATGAGGATTAAAACAAACAAATAAAAATGTACATCATATCAGGCAGTCTTAGCTCAGATTTTTTTCAAGGGCTTCCCATTTCACTGAGTACAATCCAGAGTTCTTACTGTGCTTCCCTCTCTAACTTGTCCCCAAACCCACTCTTCACTCACTCTGCTTCAGCCACTGTCCTCCTTACTGATCCTTGATTGTGCCAAGGATGCTTCTGCTTCAAGAGTATTGCATTTGCCTTTTTCTTCTTTTTCTTTTTCTTTTTCTTTCTTTTTTTTTTTTGCCTACAATACACTTTGCCGGATATCTACATGGCTTACCTTTCACCTCCTTCAAGTCTCCATTCCAATGTCCCTTCCACAGAGAAGCCTTCCCTGACCACCTATAAAAAAATAGCACCCACATCCTACACACCCGTTCTTATCTGTCTCTTGTCCAGCTTTACTTTCCTTCGTAGCAGCATGTATTCCCACTGGATGTGACATGTTGTATGTGTGTGTGTTTTGTCTTGTCTCATCCCACTGGAATATTAGCTCCTTCTGGCAAAGGCTTTGTCTTATTCATGGATGAATCTCCAGTGCCCAGAACCCTGACCTAGAAGATGGTAGGTGTTCTAAAATGTTAAATGAGTGAATGAATGACACAGTCTCCACCCATGGATTACCCCATACTGCCTGACCTCCAACCTCAATGCTTGGTTGTTCCCTTGTGATAAAGAGTACCACTGTGCAAGGCTCTGAAAATTCATACTTACCACGGGCAGACTAATAGCAAATAGTGTATGTCATCTGCATATTTGAAGAGTATCACATTTGCTCTGCCTCCCCCAGCACACTGGCTGGGTGCAACTGTTGAATTTGCACAGAGCAGCTCTGGCTTCTACCCCTTGGGCCTGCCGTAACCATCAATACCGCAGTGCTGGTCAGAGCCTGAACCACCAGCTATTCATGAGCAGCTTCCAGAATTTCCACTGGCAGGCCAAGGTAGAGACCAGACAGGGATCCTGACCAGCACCAGGGAAATCATCCACGTACACAGCACTTTCTGGCTCCTCTTCCAGACCACATACTAATGGTCAAGAGCATAGACTTACAGGTCCAACACACCTGGAGGTGAGTTTACTATGAGACCTTGGGCATTTTAACTTCTGAGTCCCAATGTGTTCATCTATAATGTGGAGTCAATGCCTGCCTCATGTGGTTACTGTGAGGAGTAAATAAGATAGATAATGGTATCCATATCTATTTTATAGAACTCACGTAATAAATATTAACCATTTAGATGTACTGAAACATCAATCATTTACTTACAAATGATATATTTAATGAATTCAAAGTGCCTCAAATCTACTTGACGAAGTCTCATTACTGTATTTAAAGCTGTAAATGTAGAAGCAGAAGAAATATATTTCTCTAAAGCTAGCCTATAATCAAAACTGTCCTAATTTCCAGTGAGTCTGGAATAGTGAGTTTTCCTTGTTGAGATAAAAGACAATGAGAGATAAAGAGGAACTACTGGTTTACCCTTTGTTATCCTTAATGTTGAATGCAAATTGCATTGTAAATTAGTCCTAAACCTGAGGGAATGGAAACCACTGTGAACTGTAGATAATTATGTTATTAATCTGCTTTTTAAAAAAATCAAAACAAGAAGTCTTTAAATAGTTTCAGTATCACAGATAACATGCTCTAATTTTATTCAGAACAATGTTTTCTCTGTTCAAAGATGAAAAACACTGCCAGGCTGGGAAAGTGACAAACACATTAACTGAGCCATTTTATGCAACATCACATTCAGAACTCATTCCAATTCTCTTTTTCTCATTTGAAGATATATTGAAAACCTTCTTTCTAAGTCATTAAAAACTATATACATATATAGTTGTGCTTAGGGTATTTTTTGAATTATTTTCCAAGTGAGTTCCAAAAGGAAGAAAATAGTTTGGAAACATAAAATGTGAACTTCTGCTCTTCTCTGCTGCTATGTCCCTCACATTGGGTCCCACTCTCTCCTGCAGGCAGTGACCATGGCTGCTGCTGATATCAGGCTCGGGGCTCTCTATTGGCCACCAAAGAGGAAGGGAGCCTAGCCCCTCAGCCCTGTTTCCAAGAATCCCACACCTGAACATCAGCACCTTGAACTCGGAGTTTGCCTTGCCTGCCTATATCCAACTTGAGGTTAATCTAATTGGTGTGAATCTACTGGAGAAAAGGATGTAAACAGGAAATATTTCTATTATACACTGATTATTTCCAACTAAGGTGGGCCCTCTCACTGCCTCCCTGCATCTTCCACAAAATTACCTTGTTTTTGACAGGGCTTCTTTTGACACAAATAGATTGGGCTATTTACACAGTTCCATCATTTGCTTTCTTTACCTTAACAACCTACCTCTTTCCCTGTTAAGAGTATCTATTATTAAATAGTAGTGCTATGTTTTAACCATTCCACTGACGGGATGGCTTTTTTTAAAATTTTATCTTGACTAATGGCTTTGTAAACGTTAAATGCAATAGCCACTTCTCCATCTTGACCCAACTAGCTTTTCGTAGTATCTGACACTCTTAATGGCCTCTTTGCCCCTCACCCTCCTCCACAAAACTATTCCCCAGGCACCTACCACCCTTCCTGCTCTCTCCTACCTTGCTCCCCATTCTTGGTCTCTTAATCTGTCTCCTCCTGGACACTCTGCCTCTTACATTTGGGACTTTCTAGGTTTCTACCTGTAATGGTAGTTTTTAATTTTTTTCCCTTTTCATTGGGCATACCTATCCACTCCCAAGCATCAGATATTTTTCTACTTGCTGATGATTTCCAAATATACTCACTCATTCTCCTGAATTCCAAATATGAAATTCAAATTGCCTACACCACCTCCTGACCTATAGGCTGTACAGTCACTACAGACTTGATCTGTCCAGAACTGACCTTATTTTTCCTTTTACATTTTTATCCCCCTCATCCCAACCCCAGCTTCAGGCCTGACCATTCTCTCCATGGCAACTGGAGTGACTTTTTTTTAAAGAATTATTTATTTATTAATTATTAATTGAATCTATTGGGTTGATATTGGTTAATACAATTATATAGGTTTCAGGTGTACATTTTTATAATACATCCTCCATATATTGTATTGTGTGTTCATCACCCCAAGTCAAGTCTGCTTCCACGGAATGACTTTTTAAAAGCGTAAGTTGGGGGTAATAATTTCTTCTCAGGATGTAATGATTTCTGAGCACTTGGTACCTGCTGTCTTGCGTGTGCTGTCTTGAGTACTCTGCTTCAGAGCCTTCCCATGGCTACATCCTGCTTCAGAAGGTGGCTCAGGTGTCATGGAAAAGAGGCCATCCTGCCCACCTGAGCAAAAGCAGGCTCCCCAGCCCTCCTTCCAGCACTGTCTCTTTGTGCTCCTCTTCCCTTCTCACCGTATGTATCACTATCTGAAATTATCCCCTTTTTCTTTTAATTTAAGTAATTTATTTTTTTCAAATACATTTGTCTCTGCCTTCCCCTTTAGGAAGAATAAAGGGGAAATGATCCCCTTTCTTCGCTTTCATGCTGCTTGCCTCGGTCCTTTCTGTAGGATGTAAACTCCATGAAGACAGGGCTTTGTTGTGTTCCCTGCTCTATACCTAGAGCCTAGAACCGGGAACCCAGCAGAACACCGGGAACCCAGCAGAATAGTCAACGTGTGTGGAATGAACAAATAAATGAACTTCAACTTCTTTAAGAACAAAGGCCCTGCTGTTAAATAAAGAACTAAGCAACACATTTTAACATGAAAAGTTCTGTTTTACCATGAGGTGTTTCCTTCCCCAACCCACTTATTCACACAGTACACTCATAGTCACAGATTATCTGGGTGATCTCTGAAAAAAATATTAATGTAGAAAATTGGCCCCCCCCCCCAACCCTTACCACCGTTTTAACATTAAACCTGACACAGTAACAACCACCACCTTCTACAGAAACCATTTTCCATGGAAGCCACCAGTGGATGCCATTTGCCACAAGGCAAGACCTGATTTGATTCCAGGACACCGAAAGAGGGGTGCCCTCTGGCTGACTCCTGGAAAGATTGTCAGGGGTTCAGAGGCTGTGGTCTGAGAACCCATCTTCCCACATCCTCCCCTCGGGGCACACTACTACACGTTTTACCTATACCCCCTCCAGATCACTCAACGGGCCTCTGGTGCTGCGTCCCCTTTGAAGGAGAGGAAACTGACACTCCAGAAATACTAGCTTGTCTGGAGCTTGGGCAGAAACCCCATAGTCAGGATCCCGGCGCAGGTTTCAAAGCTCAAACTCCATCTGCTTGAGCTCCTTTATTTCCTAGCTGCCCTCGAGAATCCGCAGTATTCTTTTGGAAAACAAAACCAGAGGCCCGTACTGGAGAGCTCAGAAAGAAGGACAAAGGGAAGAAGGCCCCCAAAGGTGGCCAGTGGAGGTCTTCACAGACCCAACCCTCTCCCACGAGTGACTCCTGGAGGCTGGCAGGATTGGAGACCGGCATGACACGGGCTTAACGCTGGAGTAGAGGATTCCGGGGCAGGGATGGGGGGATAGAGGGAGAACACTAAGAACACGGGGTGAAGAGGTGTTAACTGTTTGGTCAGATTGCGCCCGGGAAGCAGGAAGCGGGGAGGGGGAGGGCCGGGTTTGAGGATAGAAGCCATCCCCGCCTGCAGGGAAGAACAAAGCAGTGGCCCGCGCTCACCCGAATGCACTTCAAGCACTGAATCTAAGAGGAGGGTGCCAAGAGGGGAAGGGAGGGGAGGGCGCGGAGAGCGCGACTCAGCCCCGAAATCAACGGGGAGTTTGCATTTACCACTATGCCTCGCCGGTGGTCTGGCGCCTCCTCACTGCTCCCGGCCATGTTTCTCCCGGGGAAAGAGGGGAGGAAAGACCGGAGCGGGAAGGATCTTTAAGGCGGGTGGGGTGGGGGCTGGGGCCGGGGCCGGGGCCGGAGCCGGAGCCGCGGCCGGGGCCGCGGCCGCCCCGCCCCGCCCCGCCACTGGCGGCAGGCTGAGAGGGGTTCGCGCGGTGGACCCGGTTCCTGGCCGGGCTCCAGCGTCTACGCCACAACGCCCTCTCCCCAGTCTTCTCCCCCGGAGGGTCGTTTCGGCTCGGCTGGGATGCTTGGTCTGGAGGGCGTAGAGCAGCCGCGGAACAGAGTCCGCTTCACCTGAACGCAGGCCCCGGGCGCGTTCCTCGCCGCCGCAGGTCTGCGACACGGGGACCCCGCCTAGTCGGCGCCCCTCTGGGACTCGGGAGAGCGAGGCTGCCCACGGCTCGATTTTTACAGGAAGACAGTGTCCCCTTGTCCCTGCCTCCCTAACTCTGTCGTCCCAGCTTCAGGCTAACAATGTCCTTGCTAATTTTTATGCGCTCTTTATCTCAAGTAAATCCACGAAGGAGCCTGCGGTCTAGGAAGTTCCCGAAGTAGGGCTGTGCACGAAACTCTCCCAGTGTGTTTTCCACATCCTCGAACCGTCAAACCGGGAGTCTGAAGGAGCCATGCGATTGCTTTAACCTTTGGACCGTTAAGAATCTGGACTTTGAAATTGGGCCTTTCTCTAACAACATTCAGCAAGGGCGGAGCGGGGGGGGGGGAGGAAAGGGAGAGATTTCTACAAAGTATCTGCTTAACCACTTTTTGTAAGAATATATGGTTAGATTTTGATTGTTTCAGGTTGCAGTTTAAAGCAATCACTCTCCTTAAATTAGAAAACCTTGTTTGAATCTTGTCAATTCGACCCCTCATCCCAGCATTCCCCGAAATGTTCCGGGTCTTTGCCCATTTCTCAAGGGCCCTGCTTTACTACATTATGTGTGTGTTCTCTCTCTGGTCCCTGCTATCCTGCCCCATCCGTTACTGCCCTGCTCTGGGTTTGAAGCGCTGAGCCGAATGAGGCCTCTGACTCAAGTGTCTCTAAAGGGCAATTTTGTTCATCTTTGCGTTCTGGCACAAGGCAGGGAGAGGAATGCTCATTTTGCCTGGTTTGAGGGAAAATTGTTATCAATCAGTTAATATCGCTCTAGGTTGGAAAGATATTAGGTCCTTCACATTTGTTCCCTTGGCAGTGCTCCGCACCGTTTGGGTTTATTCTCTCCTAAATGCCAGGCAGTAGAAGGATACTGCTCCGTGAATCGCTCAGATTAGCTACCACGCGGGTCCACCGGATCCAATTAAATTGGGTAATATTGCTTCCTAGCTCGCAGGTAAACACTTTCTCTAAGAATGATCAGAAGTCCTTGTTTGCGGCCATTCATATAGACTTAGTTCCCACCTCTATTCCCAAAGGTAAAGGACCATCTTCTATATTCACCGTCAAAGAGCAAGCCCAGGATCCATTTTTACAACCGATTGTCACTAAAACTTCCAGGAATGAAAAGTTCTGTCACTGTGCTGATGATCAAACTTTAGGGTTCATAAGGCTCTCTTAGGGAGCCTGCCACCACCTTACCAGGCACCTGCAGGCTTTAGTGGAGAAGCACTAGTGGGATTCAGGAATCTGCACGGCTAAGACCCTCGGGTGAGCGTGATTCAGGCGCTTGACAAGCCATGCCTTCAGATATCCCACTTGACCGTCTTACTCCTGCAAAATCAAACTTACCCATAAGAGGCTAGTGTGGGTGACCGGGCCAGATTAGGGGCATGGGACTTCAAAATAACTTACAGATGTAGCTGCTATAGGATGTCAAATAGCAACAACAGTGTGCTCCGTCCAGGCGCTGTGGAAGATATAAGGGAAATGGTAGATAAATCTTCTGTCCTTAAAAAGACCGTTTTTAAATTTGAAACCCAGTAGGTTCACAATGAAAAATATGTAACTGCTTGGATGATAATAGGAATCTTATGATGAACAAATCATTTTTTAAAATAGAATTAATTTTATTATCTTTTTATATGTTAACACTTTGTGATTTAATTACACTTCTATACTTTGGACAGCATTAATGTAATAAACTATAATAATGCCATAACTAATATTTGCAAGGATCAATATTCAAGAATAACAACTCATCCATTTAGGTTTTATTCTTAATTTTGCATTATGAAATCTTAGAGGCAAAATTCTTTTTAAATTTCAAATTTCTGTTACAGGTCTACTGAAATAGCGTTGGACTAGGATTCCAATTTTTTCTAGTAACAATCCATATGACTTTAGCCAATGAGGCTAAGCCAATTACATCAATATAATATACCTCAATTTTCTCATCTATAAGACGGGGTGATACATCTCTGCTCTACTGCATGTGGTGATGAGATAACATGCAAGAGAATCCTTTTAAAAATGCTGTAAAACTGTAAGGTGTTATTAATTTGAGATGCTGTGCAAATGTATGACCAAATGTTTGTAAAGTTATTCGGTGTGAAAATGACAGGGTAATTGTCTTTTAATGATGGGTGTAGGGTGACCAATCAGGGATAATTATAATCTGGGCTAGTATGAGAATGAATACAGTAAAATAGGAAAATTATTAAAGTAATAGAATTTTTCCTTAAGAATAGGTATTTCAGCTCAGCAATTTTCTGATATTCCTTTGAAGAAGCTGTAAGAACAAAGTTATACATCTTTACAAAGTTAATAACCAGTAAATCTACTTGCATTGTTCTCCTGTCATTCTCTTTATCCCCCTTTTAGTTGTTGGTTCCCGATATTTTAAATTCTGAAATTATCTTCTGCCCCTACCATGGTGAAAACACAAATATTTATATGTACCCAAATTCTCCACCAGGCTAAAGACTTTTGTCCTGGAAGTATATACTAATCTTTTGACAGTTTGTTTATTTTTGACTTTAGCCAATATTGAAGGCACAATTCAGTCTATGCACTGAGTTGCTGAGAGCCAGTCACCCAGTGACACTAGATTCAAAATACAGAAGGGCATTTCATTCTTTGAGTCCTGAGACATGAAAATAATTTTTAAAAAACTCTCAGCCTGAAAATTGTGTTGAAATACATAAACATATGAATCTTAGTGACTCAGACTGTTAGTCACAGAGTCACTGGTTGGGCTGGATGAGATCCACTGTGGACAAAGGCCAGTCATAATGATGATGGTATTTTGCTTTTCCTTAGTACTGAGCAGAACACTTTACAAATGTTACAAGTACAAAAGAAAAACTGGTGAGGTATTTTCTTCCAAATATTCAGGCTAAGTAAGACTCTTTCTACCTTTGAGGTATTTTTTCCCCTCTACATAAATACAGAAGAAATCTAGTTGCAAATAATTGCAACACAAAGCAATTTAAGCAAAAGCCTCATTAGTATTCAATTAGCATAGTAAACCCTCTTTCCTGGCCTCCTGTGTGAAGCAGATTGAATCCAATGTGTAGTTTTAGAGTAAAGGAAATAATGGCTCTATAGTAGTTCTTACAAATAAAGCCAGGAGCTACATTCAGAATTATATTTTGTATTATTACACTTTTGTTAGTAATTAACCTTCCACAGAAGAATGCAACGCAGAGTAGATTTAAGCCTGTTCTACTTAAATCTACGTCTTTTGCAATAATGTCAGGCATGGGTAATACCATCCACAGTAAGTACTGAGCTGCTTCAGAAATATTCTCCCACAATCTCCCCCCATCTGACCGGAACAGGAATAGGGTAGCTTCAGAGAAAAAGAATAATGTGTCCATGTGTTCCTCCAGATCTCAGAGTCCTGGCAGCCAACCTCAACTCTCTTGGCCACCATAAAGCAGTCATTGAAAGGACACAGCTGCAGGAACTAGCCACTAAGCACGAAATAAATCCACAGGGCTAGAGGCACAAGTCATGTACATGACCCTAACACAATACCTTGTGGTTATGAATGAACGGATTAGCTTCTAATGGTGCCGTGGCAGCTTATGCAAAATTAATTGGTGCTTCATCCAGTGCTGAGTTTCTAATGGAAAGATGTCTACCAAAAAACAAAAACAAAAACAAAACAAAACCCAAGGGTCCTCCTTAGTCAACAAAGACATTGCCTGGTGTTGTGGGGGGAATAAGGACCAACTGGAATGGGAACTGAGCTGTTTATTCTCTTAGCTGTACATAGATTCTCTTCTGATCAGAGTTGATATACAACACCCACAGGCAATACCCCAGGAACTGGTGGAGTTATTGCCAGGCTTTCAGTTGTGTTTTAGAGTTGAGGCTGGGGGAGTTGGGAAAGAGGTTGGGGCAATGTGGCTTGAAGTCTAGAGTTGTCTCATATGGGGAAAGAGACTGAAAAGGAAAAAGAGATTGGACACTAATTTACCTAGAGCAACACTTCCCAAAGTGTGTTTTGATTCACTTTCCTTTTTATTTGAAAAAGATGATACGATTCGTTAAGTTTGAGAAACAATGAGATAAGTGAAGTGAAACACACATCTATGCTTGTAGGACTTCTGGGAGCCTTTACTATGCCAACGTGTACAGTCAGTATTCAAGAATACTGTGGCAGAGTGCAGTGTTTCACAAAGTTTTTTGATCATAGAAACCATTTTAGAAGGTGTTTGAAAAAATTTTAAAAATTGCATTATTATGAAATACTTAAATTTATACCTTCAGTGTTATCTTAAAGTAGGAAATTTTAATGGTCTTAAAGATACACTTGAAAGGACTAAATATTTTAAAATAACATTATTTTCAAAGTGTGCATTGCTATTTTTTTTCTTTTCAAATACATACAAAGAGAATTTGATGAACACGGCTAAGGTCTTTTTCTACCTCTGAAAGGCCCTGGCTTTGCAATTTGTGCCATTCTTCAAGTTGATGGGAAGCTTAGAAGACAAGGAACTTACTCTTATCCACCTCCATTTGTACT